AACTGAAATAACCCTGATTTCCGCGAAGGGAAATCCACAGAGTCGAAGTGTAATAAGACCGTTGTAGATCATATTACCCAAATTCCAGTCGAATATCACATCCATACAACGATAATATCAGAGTACAAATAGTGTGGAATTACATAATTTATTACATTGCCGCATTGGCGGAATCAAAAGTAGCATTCATTCTGAACAGCTTGAAGATAAGATCGCCAAACTCGAGCGTAGGAACGAACCCCTCAACCGTCAAATCCTCGGAGCTATACTCCTCAGCAGAACCTATGTGCCAAAATTTATCAGTACGATTTGTACTGGCCACTCCCAACCCTATGAGCATTGCTTTGTGGAAATTGGATGTAAATTGGATATAATCAAAAGGGAACCTATAAAGCTGGGGTTTCCTATGTATTAGCATATCAAGTTCATAATAATAGTTGGTCAAGTTTTAACACCATTCTCACACATTCCACCCCATTCCCATTCCATAGCCTGGTTTCGATCCTGGGATCGATATACCACCATGTCCACACCATCACCATACCTCGCCTGTACCATCATCGCTTCTGGCCGACGGGCCAACTCCCTCTCAAGATCGTCTCAAGGCCCGTAGCCCCTGGCTACGTCCGAGCACTCACTCCCGGGAGAGAATAGAAAGACTCATCTCACTATCTAGTTTAAGCGAAACCCAGGAAAGGTCCATAGCCGACAAGTCAGCATATGTATCGATCGATCAACCATACACTCTACAGAGGTTTTAAATAACCACAAGATCCACCTTCCTCGCTGACCGTCGTCAACTAGGCTGATTCCGGCCGCTTGCTAGCCTAGGATAATGCCACTCTACCATTCAGCCCTGGTACACCCCAAGTCCGGTCTAGGGTGGCTGAAACTGTGAGTCATGAGCCGGGTCCACAAGGTCTCCATGAAGTCTCGAAAGGGTGTGGGGGAAATCCTCCGCACCCTGCACCTCCTTACACCGTCTGTTAACAACCTAGCAAGTAGTGGCAATATCCTACCAAGTAGTCCGCCGCCCCGCACCATATATAGGCGAGTGGTACGTAAGGCTTCCGGTGAATCTGAGTACTAGTAAGTCCTTAGGGATGACCAAGCCAGGATGTCTTCATCAGGGTTTCCATTTACCGTGCCACCACAGCACCTCCACCCTGGGCTCCTCCCATCACAGGATCACACCCAAGGCCACCTCATATACTATTTACCCACCACAGTATCCATTCCGGGGGTGCCCAGTAGCACCCACGGCAAGACTCGCCTGTGCTCGTCAGATACTCCAACTTGGTCGACACAACCCTCACCCTCCACGCACCCAAGTCACACACGCAAGCACTCTCCCCAATTACAGGTTTCCACGCATCAATGTAGTGTAAGCGTAGTAGAAGTAATAAGCAATGAAATATAATAGCAAGCGTGTGACTAGCCTAACAAATAGGTGGTGAGGGGGTAAGGTTGCGTCAAGGTATAAGGCCATCAAGAAAGCATACTACCATGCAAGTCCTACCATAGTGTGATATGACAATAAAGTAAGCACTAGCATTTCTACTTTAGCCATGCGTAATAGGTGCTACGAGATTGGGTGGGATGTGGCACCTTCAGTGTAGTCGTCTCCGTACTCCTCACGGTACTCACGATCCTCGTCCGTCAGGTTCTCCTCCGAGTCTGCAACGATCGTATTATAGTCGCGTTAGCGACGTCCATAGAATAGCACAAAGAAGCAATGAAAATTCAAAAGAGTCAAATGCACTCAACATGGGTTCATTGCGTAGAGCTCGATTTTAGATGAATTTTGGTCCTGGTTTCATATTTTTCTAAGGTCGTATGAATTTGTTATGAATTTCCAAAGTTTAAATCATTTCTGAAAATGGAAAAGGCTAAATTAATCCTGGGCTGACACGTGTCACACTGTGACTGGTCCACGGTGGTCTCGGAAAATGAAGCCTTGGTGGTCTCGGTGGTCTCAGCAAGCGAGACGGAGTCTCGGTGGTCTCGGCATGTGGTCTCGGCGAGCGAGATGGAGTCACACTGGTCTCGGCATGTGGTCTCTGCATGTGGCCTCTGCATGTGGCCTCTGCATATGGCCTCGGCATGTGGTCTCGGCGAGCGAGGCGGGGTCATGGTGGTCTCGGCATATGGTCTCGGCGAGCGAGACGGTGTCTCAGTGGTCTTGGCATGTGGTCTCGGCGATCGAGACGGTGTCTCAGTGGTCTCGGCATGTGGTCTCGGTGAGCGAGACGGAGTCATGGTGATCTCGGCATATGGTCTCGGCGAGCGAGACGGTGTCTCAGTGGTCTCGGCATGTGGTCTCGGCGATCGAGACGGAATCATGGTGGTCTCGGCATATGGTCTCGGCGAGCGAGACGGAGTCATGGTGATCTCGGCATATGGTCTCGGCGAGTGAGACGGTGTCTCAGTGGTCTCGGCATATGGTCTCGGCGATTGAGACGGAGTCATGGTGGTCTCGGCATATGGTCTCGGCGAGCGAGACGGTGTCTCAGTGGTCTCGGCATGTGGTCTCGGCGAGCGAGGCGGAGTCATGGTGGTCTCGGGCTCGTGGCCAAGGGGGATGCGGCTGACTATCATCGACTTGGTCTACGCGGCTATCTTCCGGTCATCACGGTGATGCTCTACGGCTACGTTCCAGTCTAGCGAGGTGGTCGGGTGAGCCGGTGGTGGCTGTGCCATGGCGGCGGCGTCGTGAGCGCGGCGTGAGTGTGCTCGGCTACAGCGTCCATGGGGCTAGGAGGGGTCTACGGTGTGGTCGTGGATGCTGTGCTTGTGTATCCAGAGGCCGGAGATGGCCTTGGCCTACGCGCTCACGGTGTGGAGCACCATGGCCGGAATAGCAGAGTCCGGCGGCGAGTAGGGGAAAATCGGGCGCTCACCGTAGGTGTCGTGGGAGATAGGATGGTGGTGCAGTGGAGAGTCGTGGCCGTGTAGACAGAAGCAGTGCAGTGCCGACCCGCAACGGTGATGAAGATGTCGGCGTCGTCTCCTGCTCCGGCGGCTTCGAAGGTGCTCCGACGGAGACTCCTTCTTCCTCCTCCCTCTCCCTTCCTTCTTTCTCTCCTTTCTCTGGATCGGTGAAGTGGTTGGCCACCAAGTGGCGGCGGGGCGATGGGGCGAACGCTAGGGCAACCGAGGGCCGTGGCTTTTATAGCCGGAGCTCTAAGCTCCCATGGCGGATGACGGAACGGCTGGCGATGTGCCGAGCGCATCGGACGGCTCTCGGGGGTGGGGGCGGTTGCGTGGGTGCGGCGCTAAGGTGGGGAACAGGGTCATGAGATGTGCGTGAACCTGGGCCCGCGTCTGCTGCTTTGGTCGGGGCTCGGTCGAGAGATGAGGCTGGCGTGGGGAAGAAGATGATCCAGGTGGGCGGTCGATGAGGGGGCCCATCATCGACTTCTTTGTCCCGACAAGCGGTGGCGTCTTGATGCGTGTGTTTTACCGACGGGCGGTCCGGCTCGTCGTGGCGTCTGCGTCTGACGTGATCGTCGGTGATGTTGGCTGGTTGGTTGGGCGGTCGAGGCGTAATTTGAATGCTGGTGCTTGCTCTCTCTTCTTACCTTTAGTATTATGTTACACTTCTCTCTCAGATATAAATCAAAGTGGCCTACTTCTCCTCGATAAAATGTTCCCTGGTGATAAACATTGGTCAAAGTATTTATTGGGATATTATTTAGTTCATTTATTTATAAACACATATTTGTTAGCTTTTATTTAATCAACACATAAATCGAATAAAATCCAAATCACCATGTTGAATATAATGCAACTTGATATATGCTATGTGGTAAAATAAATTCTAGGTGATGAGGTGAGATACTCGTGCCAGTCATATAGGTTTAGTTAGTGCAAGGTTAGGGGTTTTCCTACATGCCACATCATCACTCAAGGGTTTTGAAGAAAGAAAAATTTTATAGTTGGAATTTTTGGTGTGCGGATTTTTGGGTTGTTACACCTTTCTGTAATGCGGCTAAGATAATGTTTTATATCAGCAATATTCGTGGTGTAATTTAAAAGCACCAAAAGATATCACAAACTGGTACTGTCTAATTACATTGTAACTCCACTAATTACCATACAACCACATATATATTTTCAAATATATATACTAACCTTTAAAATTATTTTTGACTAAATTGATCTGTAGTTTCTTGAAAGACTAAAATGATAGCAACCACCATATACCCCTCCAGCTGTCATCACGTCATGGAGCCTACATTTTGCATGTCCTGAGGTGAACGGCAACGTGCAATCGGTTCCACCTCGACCACTCAGGGTCAATGCTCATTTGAAACCGGCTAGACCATACTCACAATTTCCTCTCAACCTGATCAACATTTGTACTTGTACAATGTTTTACACAAAATACTCACAACCAAGCTAGATCACTTAAGTACACAACTAAGATGTTTGTCATGTACAAGTACAACACATAACTCATTTCTTGCTTGCGCAAAGATAAAGTTCTTTTGAATAATGTTTTACATCTAGGAAGTCATGGAACAAAACAACCACCACGAGAGCACTTTGATCTTCTTGTTGCAGTTTGATCTTTGATATTCCTTTTCCTCTCATCTAGTAAATTCCGTGTTTGTTGGACTGAAAAGACATAGAAATTAAAGCTACATACATTAGTGCAGACCCTAGACAACGGAAAAATAGTCCAGCCATACGCAAGCACAGTTAAAAAGAAATCACTCCATAATTTAGGATAAAAAACACATCAATCCATGATGGCAACAAATGATATGGATGGCAACGTGTCAGTTAGAAAGAGAGATATGGCTCATTCAAAGCTACCGTGCTCCACCTACAATTTCAAGCCATGATGGCAACACATGATGCAATATATCGGTTTCCTCTAGGCTATTCTTGCCCATGCTCTTGTTATATATCCAACTTTTCCATTTTTATTGCTCTATTATCTTTTTTTTCTCCAAGCAAATTGACCAGGCGTGGCGGGGGTCCGAGGATCCCACCGCCAAGCACCCGGTGATCTTGAGGCTGGTGGTGCCCGCTGGGCAGATTGTCGTCCACCGCGGACAGGCGCGGTGACGGGTGGGGCGCCGAGTTCAAGTCGAACCCCGTCGGATGAGGCAGAGGAGGCGCGTGCGGGTGCGGTAGCGGTAGCAGAGGGGGCGACAGATGCTGCTCCAATCGCGTGATTCGCGTCATCGCAGAATCGATCCGCTCCGTCACGCTCGTCGTCTTCTCGAGCAAAACTCCGAATGACTCGTCCGCAGTCAATCTCCAGGCCTCCATCCCGCTCCACATGTCGAGGGATTCCTGCATCATCTCCTGGAATCCTTCAAATTGAGTGGATAACTTGTGAAACTTCGTGATGAGTTCTTCAAGGGATTGTACCATCTCTTGCTGTATCTTCGAAGGCTGCCGCTTCGGCGCCAGGACGACTCAACGACAGCAAAAGGATCACCGCCGTTGCTACTGTCTCTGATACCAATTGTCAGGGACCCGGATCAAGATCCCGACGTGAACTGGAACTGGATAGGATTCAGGATAAGAAGGAGCAAGAACAGGGGGTTCAGGCAGGAACAGAGTATTCAGGAAGAACAAGATATTTTAGAGTTCAGGATTCATTCATTCGATGGTTCATTCAGTTACAGGCAACGACCTTTTATACACTACTGGCCCATTAGGCCCACATGACAGCTCAAGTAACAGGCTCCCGAAGAAATAGCACTTTGCATTTCTCTTACCTTTTTCATGTACAGCTCAATGACATTGCACAAGTCAGTGTGTGGTCTGTAGTTGTCGAAGAAGGTTCCCTTCAGGGCCCTCTCGTTCAGCAAGTTCATTGGGTGAGTCTTGAATTCAGCATCCTTGTGTGGCACACCCACCAGGCCACCAGCACAGTAACACCCCAGCCCTGGATTTAGATCGAATAGAGATGTTGAATAAAATTTAATCTAAATAGAACAGACTGCAAATAATAGCAACAATGATGTGTTTATTCAGGCCTTACATCATGAAATATTCAAATTCCTGGATCATGGCGTTGATGGTACCAATGCACTCCACACTACGGTCAACCCCTCCATTTGTAGTCTCAGCAAGTACCTAAAGCGTCAGGAAATTGGATACTATGGTCAAGTTTTGCATAAACTGTCACAGGTTAGCTCAGGCAAAGAAACAGACGTGCACTTGTGGTCTTTTGGGTTCACATATTCAGACCAAACTTCTTAGCTGAAAATAGATAAATAGATGAGGTTACTGAATTATCAAAACAACATGACAAAACGAGGATTCAGTCATTTGGCTCAAAGGGACGCCTTCTTCGAGTCTGTTGGGGTTCAGGTCAACACCAATTATCCTTGACGCTCCAGCAATCCTTGCACTTTCTGTAGCCTACTCATGCAAATATGCAGGGCAATCAGATGCAAATCCAACAAATATTAGAGTTGAAAGCAAAAAATAACAGAAAAAAAAATCAACAGTTACAGCAAGGACAACATACATGCAACAGCTCCTTGGACCAAAAATAACGATTGCTGAACCAAGACCTTCAGAAAGAAATTGGTAAGCCAGCATCACCAGATATATATCCTCAAACATGCATACCCAAATTGGAGTTATGACCACAACTATTACTGCAACTCTTATAAGAAACCACTACAAACCCACTCATTGCATATACGTACCAATAATCAAACTGCAAGAAATAGAAAAAAGCCACACATCACAAATATGGAAAATCCAGTAATACTATACAACCAATGTGGCATAGATCAAGGCATACCAATGTGGCATAGATCAAGGCATACCATTTGTCTGATATCAGGATTAGTTGAAGCACGAGATAAAAAAAAGGATTAGTTGAAGCACGACTCAATTTGACCATACAATCTCCAGGATCATCGCTCCATCTGCTGCTTTTGGACAATAATAGTGGATATAATATTGAAACAAATTTATAATGAAAAATCATATCATAGAACCCAACTTCATGTAAACTTATTTAATGCAAATTTGTATGGCTCAGTTAAGTACACCACTCTAATCCACAACACTGGATGGTCCATCTGGGCAGTGAGCACTTGAGCAGGGACTCATTTGTACAAACATGTTGTAAGCAGTGGCCATGGATATCTGGGCTGTGGCAGCAGCGTGGATCAGCAATCAATAGGCTCCCACTTTTACAATTTTACATCCCTCATCTCACACAACAACCGCAAAATAAGTCAAACATCTAAACCAAGTCTTTTGAGGAGGTACCTTCTGAATTGTCCAACATCATCTTGACACACCTGCAATTCAAGGAAGAAACGAACTGGCTATCAAAACACCGCAAGAAAGCCGCTAGATAACGGCCAAGCTGGAGAGCGAACGGTGCAGCGGCACCTGCCGTGGTCGACGCTGGGGATCTCAGTCGTGACAAGTAATGATGCCTACCCTGTGATCGGCCACCGACTCAGGTGCCTGCACTCCGGTCCGGGGGCTCGTTGCTGGAGTCGCTCGGCCTGTCAAGCCCCATCCACTGCAACTGCGACGGGTGACAGGCTAGGGCGGCCACTCCGCGCGATGGCGAGGACGACGGATTGAAATTGGAAGCCGGCGGTCGAGTGTGGGGGCAGTCGTGGCTCTGCCGGTCGTCGATGAAGAAGTTCTTGGCGTCCCGGCACTAATGCGGTGCCGCGGAGCATCGAGGAGTAGACGGCGACGGACGTATCGAAGGTTGCGGTGGCGTCGATGGAGACGTCGTGCCACTGCCAGCCGGTGGAGACTCTCACCAGGATGTACTCCACGGCCGCCGCGTCGTCCTCGGGCGACCGCCGCTTCTGCACCAGCATCCTGCCGGGCCGCACCTCCCACTCGATCTTCTCGTGCTCGGCGACCATGGCGCAGATGTCCACGCTGCCGCCGCTGATGGTGGTGCTCCTGGACCGGCTCCTGAACAGCCTCCTGGGGCTCAGAATCTTCACCATCTCCGCGTTGCCGCCGCTGATGGTGGCGATCAAAACACCGTGAACTCGATCTGCTAATCTTTGGTCGACGTCGTCGTGCTTTCTATGACCGGGATCGCATGAGGAAGGGAACGTGGTGCGCGATCAACGTGATCCGCGATCAATGAGGAAGGGAAGGTGCGCGATCAACTTGATCGCGGGGAGGGAGGCCCACCTGGTGTCGCGGTATCGCACGGGCTCACGGCGCGCGGGAAGGGAGGCCCACCTGGCGGCGACGAAACAATCGGCATCGCGGAGTCGCGGGATCGCACGACGAAGGCAGAGCGGCGACACCAAACGAATGTCGCACCAAATAAATTATCTTACTTTTGTTCTTTTTAGTTGTTGGAGATTTGCATGCCCATCGCGCGGTATCCTTATACATATGCATGTGGCTGTTTACTTCTAGGACTCGTCTGTCACCCAAAAGAGCTGCAAAGAAACTTTTCGCAGATGAAGATACCATGGATGACGATGGTGATGGGTGTGCGGATGGTGCTGCTGTTGCTGCAGAGCCTAGGTACCTCCTTGCTTTTGTTTATGGCTCTGTGTTTATGTTTTCTCGCTATGCTTTGTTTTTCAACTGTTGCTGCTCCTGAAAATATTATATTCAGACAAACGAATCATGCTGGTATTTTCATATTTACATGGCATGTGCCACTTGCAATAAGAAGATTTTCTTGCTTCTGTTTATGGCTCTAAACATCACGCCTCGTGGTCTCTTCTGTTAACAGTGCAGCAACTGAAGATAACTAATCAGCGAAGGAAGGTCAAGGTGCTTTTGCCTCTACCAGTTGCAGCGAAGTGCTCATTGGCGTGTATCTGAAACCTCGCTCACAACTGATGTTCACCGCTCTTTTAGTTTCTCTGTAGCTTTATATATCTACTCTAACGATCACCCATGTATTTGGATCGGCATTCTAAGCTACCGACTATAGTGTTCGGTAGCCATGAATTCCAACTGTAATGAATCAGTATGCAATGTATGGCCGGATAGAACCATAATGGCTACGGTTGCCGTGCATGTAGTGAAGGATTGTGTAATCTATGGCTGAACGGAACCATAACGGCTGCGATGGCCATGCACCTCATGTTTATGAGTGCTCCATTTCTGCTGGGTTACTCTTCTGCTGTGAAAATATTAGCGATAAACATGTTTCGTGGATGGCTGGATCCTACTCTCTTATGCAGAGCACAACATGTCCTTCAAATCAATCGATGGTGAGAAGGGGAGGCAGCAGCCAGGTCTAAAGGTGGATGCTACTGTCTCCTCCCTTCTGCATTGTATTTACCCTCCATCCCTGAGCCTGAGGTATCTTCCCCACCATCTCCTTATTTAACCTATGAATTTTAATGCTCCAGTTGTATTCAGGCCCAGATGAACTTTCTATCAGAGGTGCAGCATAGACAACTGTTGCATCTGATGATCTGAATATATTTGACTAACCACACTGGAAGTATTATAGTTATCCTTTCCCTGTTGCCATTTTATTGATCTGGCTTTAGTGTCATTATTTTGAAGTACCATATCTGTGTCATCTGTAAGGGCTAGATAATAAAGAGTTGGTCTGCAGAACAATAGCTATTTCAGTAACTATTCTTACTTTTGATCTAAATTTTATTGCATATTTTTTTTAAAGGAGAGATCAATAGCTTTGGATTGAATGATGATAGAAATCTAATGTCTATTGCTTGCGGTGTCAGTTGTTGCCCATTCTTACAACTTATGAAAACCTGAATTTTATTGGTTATTTTACGGGACTCGTCAGTATACTGTTTTCGTTCATAGAGATATAACCTTGATGTTTCGTTGGCACTTCTTTTGCATGAGCTTTACAAGTTGCTTACTTGGTGCCTTTTCATGATTGAATAAGCATCTAAACTGTATCCTCAGATTGTAGAAGGAACATCTAATGATTGGACTAAGGATTCAACTATTTGTTTCACTTGAATTATTTTTATGCATAAATGGTAAGCTGAACTTTTCATTGATGTGTTCGATCAAATTCTGTAGTCTGAAATTATTCTGCGCTATCTTAAGGTATAATAAGCTTCCTTCTATACCTATTTGTAGGTTGCAGTATGACTATTAGCAGTGTGCTAATGTTGATATGTAATCCAACTCAGCGAGACAACTTAGTTATTAACCATCAAGCTGTGTAAGCACTAAGCAGATCATGCAGGTGAATTCTCACATGTAGTTCCACTATGGGACCACAATAAGGTTAGTTTGTATGATAAAAACTATAGTGATTGCTGACAATTTTTTTATAGAAAAACATTTTAGTACAGTGAATTTTTCAGGGTGATAGTTTGGCCAAAACAAATCTATCGGTTCTACATTGCTTGAAATGTCTGAGTAATCTATTTTGTTCATTCGCACATGCTCACTGAAATACCTTAAAGGAACTGAAATACTCATTCACATGTGTTAAATTAATGTACTACTAGAACTAAGATTCCTGCTTAGTATTTATGATTTATTTCAGGGCTTTTAACATCGCATCAAAAGATCTCTAGATTGGAAATTCTATTTGTAGAAGATTCTTCCTACTGCACGGTGAAATGTTGAGATGGGAATGAAGTGTATATATGAATCCGGCTGCTTACTGTTTTAATGACTTGTACCAAATTTTAGGCTGTCGAAAATGATCGTTTCTTGCATGGGTGAAAGGATGGAGATGAGTGCAAAAGGAAGTAACAAGATTCCACTGAATGAGCGTTGAGAGATAAGATTGCAAAAACATACATGTTTATTTGACAATCCCTGTGTAGTCGCAAAGTATGTAACTTAGTTGATTGTATCTATTTGTAGAAGATTCTTCCTACTGCACGGTGAAATGTTGAGATGGGAATGAAGTGTATATATGAATCCGGCTGCTTACTGTTTTAATGACTTGTACCAAATTTTAGGCTGTCGAAAATGATCGTTTCTTGCATGGGTGAAAGGATGGAGATGAGTGCAAAAGGAAGTAACAAGATTCCACTGAATGAGCGTTGAGAGATAAGATTGCAAAAACATACATGTTTATTTGACAATCCCTGTGTAGTCGCAAAGTATGTAACTTAGTTGATTGTAGTCGCAAAGTATATGATGTGTCATGTCTAACTGGCATATATACTATTCTTCAAATCACGGCATATATTAGCTTGTGTTCTTCATATGATGGTAGGGCGCCCGAAGGGTGACACATGTTCTAGTATAATATAAGATGACCTAGCCGGGCTGCAACTCAAGGGGTTAAACTCAGCAGCAGAGCGCTCGATTTCATCGCACCGTATTTAATTAAAAGTGAGGTGTAGATATTAAATAAAATGAAATATAATCCATATCGCACGAACAGTTTTATATATTTACCTTGGTATTTAAATGTCAGCGCCATGCATGAGGTTCCTGTAGTAGGGGCCATGCACACAAGACAAATTTGCTCAAAAAAGTTGTGACAGTGAAGGCTACGCCCCGCCATTGACAAAAACGTAAACGAAAGGCATAGAAGGTGACACGGGCGGCAACGTTAATATATAATATAATAAATTATTTGCGAGTGGTTCTGGTGGTTGGCCATACTCCAAGTCCACATTTTCCTATGTCTCAGACTTGAGGATATTTGATTGATCCAAATGCGCGCGGCATGGTTTTAATTACTTTTACACACTCATAATAATATAAGCAAGCTCTTCATTATATAAGATGGCATCAGCACCTTTGAAGGTAGGGATTGACCCTGACCCGTAGGCTAGGGTTCTCCGTCGTCATTGTATTTCAAATAAGTCTAAGATAACCAGGACCACTCGTACGTACGTGACACCGTACCGTGCATACATTCCTGCGGCGCGCTCAGCTACATGCCTCGCTTGCTCATCATCAGTCAAAGAACAGCAGCTACCCCATGCTTGCGGACCCACAGCTGCATGCCGGAGCTTGCTACTAGTACTAGCCTCAGGGCCCGTTCGTTTAATCTGGTTGTTCCAGCTGAATTGATAGGTTTATTTGTATTAGTATAGATTAGCCGGAATAGTTCCGGGCCTCAAAACCGGCCAAACGAACGAGGCCTTAGCCTTTCACGACGCAGGATATGATTTTCAATTTGGCCCCGAGATCGACTCAACTATATATATTGGCAAGTTTCTTTCTTGTAATGGATGATCACACTGCAGCTACAGGACACCAGGGGCCGCCCAACGTTCGTCTGTTTCTTCCTCTGTGGGAGTGCGACAGGTCGTGAGAGCGTCTCTAATAGTAAAAAAAATTGTCCCGTAACACATAATTGATAACATGGCACTACTGCACATAATTGTCCCGTAACATGTATATCTCTAATAATAGTGTAGCTATGATGTTTTTTTTTTCAAAACCTTAACATGGCACTACTGCACAACACATAGTTCCTATCGGCTCAGGTGTGCTGGAACCGGCAATGATCCGGCTTCATTATCAAGTCGTAAGTCTAGGATTTGAATAATGATTGGCCGAGATCCTGTTGACTCGACAATCAAGCCATGTATCCCTGCCGGGTAGAGCCATGAGCCGGCGGTAACACAGGACCATGTCACTGCTGGGTCACGCCACACTCCGTGATGCAGTACCGTGGCACAGGCGGTATTCATCGATCACCCTCTAAATTCGATATATGGCAGTTCTCTCATGATTTTTTCACATAAGAAAAAATTATGAGGGTCTATTGGAGACAAGAAAGATATATAAAGAGAGTGTTTATGGGATGAGTCTCTGAATAGCGATATATACCAAGAATGAAGTTTATAGAGGCGGTTAGAGCATCTCCAAGAGATTAGCCAAAAAGACTGGCTAAATTTACTGATTTAGCTACTCTCTAAAATAGATTTGATAAAAATATACTAGAGTACTCCAACAGACTGTAAAACCAAGAGGCTGGATGGCTAGTGAGGTAGGCTATCCAAAAGTAGAGAGCGAATGAGGTGGGATGCAGAGCTACTAAATTTGAAGAGTCATTTACAGAGTG